GTGGTTTCAGCCCCGCGCCCCCCCTGGCGGCCGGCGGCGGCGCAGCCGCCCGCAGCGGCGCCTCGCAGGGCGGCCCCGCCCGCTCGTAGCACATACACAGAACACACGCAATAGGTAAAATATATAAATACATAAAATAGACTACTGCGTGTGCCTACCAGCTCCATATACACATAGCAAGTAACAACCTGCAAGCACATGCCAGGGCTCCAGGTGCAAGGGGTGCCAGCAGCACCGGAGCCAGGCAGGTTTTGTTGCAGCACCTCAAGCTGCAGGTTGTTTTGCTCCTGCGGTCCCATAAAGACGTGGGAAAAATCAAGGTTTATCAGCAGTGCGGGGGCCGCGGACTGGCCCTGAGGCCGCCAAGGTTTGTAAGAGGTTCAAGAAAGGCGGTTTATGGAAGTGCTCACTTGGACTCGGCGCCAGCCCCTTATCGCTGCTGCTCTAACCTTGAGCTGGACGGTGGTGACAGCAGCCGGGCCCGGCTGCCCTCGGCCTGGGAACAGGCGCTGGGGGTAGTTTCACACGCTGCGGGCGCTGCCGCCTCCTCGCCTGGCCCCAGCCCTGCACCAGGACTGGTGGCAGCAGGACGGGGGTGCACGGAGCTTGTCACTACCCCTCTTGTGCCAGGTGCCCGCAGCCCCGTCCCAACAAGCACACCAGGACTCAGGCTGAAAGTCCCAACTTTATTGTTTCCACAGAGGCAGCGACTGTTTCATAAAACCATGTCAAAGAACAAGCAAAAACCCCAGGCTGGAGCCACACGGGTGCAAAGGGAAGCTGGCGGCAGCCCCAGGATGCCGAGGGAGGGCAGAAGCCCTCAGGGAGCGGGGCCGGAGGCCGCGCCGAGCCCCGGCTGCAGCCCCACGGGCAGCCCGTAGACAACAGGGGCGGCCCCGATGAGCGACTTGAGCTTGGGCGCCAGCCGGGCCTGGGCGACGTAGCGCAGGAGCGGGGCGCCCGCGCCTGCCCGCAGCCAGCCCTGCAGCAGAGCCTCCGCGTAGCGGTCGATGTCCCGGTCCGTCACATCCCACAGATTGCCCAGCACCAGGGGGCTGCACGGAGCAAGGCCGCGGGTGCATTAGAGCAGCGGAAAAGGAGGGTTTTCGGTATTTTTCCCCAAAGTCTCCCGCTTGCATCACTCACCAGCCGGCCATGAGGTACTTGAGGACAATGCCGGAGCCCTCGAGGGCGCCGCGCACGGCGAGCGCGGCGCTGCTGCAGCCGAAGAGCAGGGCCACGGCGCTGCACTCCAGCCTGGCAAGCGACTGCCCATCCAGGAAGCGGGCGCCGGCTCCGTGCCCGGCGTAGCTGGAGGGAGACGATGCGGATCAGTGTGTGGGAGAGACCCCCGGCGCGCCGGAGAGCCCCGAACGCCGCTTACATGTACAGGTCATGCTCCGAGAGCGCTGCCTGCATCTGCTCCTGCCTCGGGATGGCTCCTGTCACGCCGTTCCAGCCGGGCTCGCTGCGGGAGAGGGTGGCATGGAGCGTGGAGGGCCCCGATGCTGAGGCTGCCCAGGCTGCGGGTCCCAGGCACAGCACCGCGCTCACCTCTCAAACCAGCTCCGGAATCGCTCCTCGGTGCCCGGGAGGTTGTTGTGCGGGTTGAGGATGTAGAAGGTGCTCGCGGGGTTCACGCCGCGGCTCAGCACGGAGCCCGCCCGCTCCTGCGGCGGGGACACGGGTTGGGTGAGCGCCAGCCCCCGCGAGCTCCCGGCCCGCACAGCCCAGGGCTCTCACCTCGCGTGCCATGGAATAGCTGAGCAGGAAGCGCAGGGACGGCAGCCGGGTCACGCTCACTTCCCTCAGGAACGCCATGCTCTCCCAGGGCAGCCGCTGCAGGTGCTGGGAGCGAGAGGGAGACGTGAGCAAGGGGCAGGCCCAAGCCGGGCAGGCGAGAAGCGGGAGCTGCCGCCATTCACCTTATCCAGCACCAGGACGAGGGAGCCCCCGGCCCGCCGGGCTCGGCCTTCCCGCTTCTCCAGGGCTTCCTGCAGAAGGATCTGGGCTGCGTAGGGCTGAGTGGGGCAGAACCCAGAGGCCAAGGACTGCACATCCTGAGGCGTGAGGAGGGCAGAGGCCTTGAGCACGACCTGTGAGGAGAGGGAAGGGAGCATTGAGCACCATTCTGGAGCCCTGCGATCCCGAGCCAAGGCCAACGGGATGTCCCAGGACACACCGTGAGCAGCGCCGTGTCCACGCGCGCCCCGCCGCACTGCCGGAGCCGGGCGCACAGGCTGGACGCCTCCTCGGCCAGGCCGGGCTCGGGGCTGCCCGGGTGCAGGGCTCCCTTCCAGCAGCCCAGCACCCCTGTCTCCAGGGTCTCGATGAGGCTCTGCGAGAGAATGGAGTCACTGGGGACGGCTGCACCAGGTGCCACCAGGCCTGTCAGGGCACGAGAAGCTTCTCTCCAACCTTCATTCTCTGGTCCAGCTTCAAGCGGCACTGCCACCACTCCACGTGGTCCGGGCAGTTGATGGATTCCTTCTGCTCCCTCTGGATGGCATCGAACTCCCGCAGCATCGAGCTCAGCGGGGCCTGGAAGAGAGAGGGGAGATGGGAGCCCGAAGCCCAGCAGTTGGGCTCATCCCCGCTGCCACCCCTGCCCTCACCTTGGAGCACCCGGTGGGGATGCGGATGGTGATGGGAGCGCTGCCCTTCTCCAGCCTTGTCAGCAGCAGCGTGTCCCCTGCCAAGGCTGGCTGGAGGCTCACGACGGTCATCAGGCACACAGTTACCCCTGGCAATGACACTCGGGGCTTAACACCAGCCAGGGGACAGGCTCCAGGCCGTGCAACCCTCTGGAGCTTGAGGAGCAACCCTTACCACTGGGAATCTGCTCCAGCTGCTCCTGGAACCTCTCCTGGTCCTGAGGCCCCAGCTCCGAGGAGCTGAACGCAAAGAGGTCCTGGAGCTGGGCGAGGTGGTGGCGGAGCCGGCTGCACGGAGCGGCGCTCTCCTCCTGCAGCGACAGCCCTCGCAGCTGCTCCGTCACGCCGAGCGACGACTTCTTGGCTTTGCTGGAGAAGGAAGCGAGAAAAACCCACCCCGCGTTGTGCTTTGCTGCATCTGATGGCTTCAGCGGAGACCCCTCCAGCTCAGCAGCGCTCTAAGGCTCTGGCAGGGGAGACAGAAAGGACTTGGCTCTGCTGGAGCAGCCAGGGACTTGCTGACACTTACTGGAGGCTCCTGTGGAGGGAGCTGAGCAGCTGGTGGCGCAGGGTGACCGAGAGGGCCTCGCACACGAGGTACGCGGTGCCCACGGGGTCCTGCTCGCCCCGCGCCAGCGCCAGCAGCTGGCAGAGCCGGCTGTAGAGAGCGCCGGGGGGGCAGTGGCTGATGCAGTTGAAAGCAGCTTTGAGGAGCTTGCAGGCTGCGTCCAGGGAAGCGGCATCTGCGAAAGCGCAAAAAAAACCCATCCCAAGTGGGGTCAGTCCCTGCTGGCAGCACCTCGGCCCATTGCTGAGCTGGGAGCAGCAGGAAGCTCCGAGGGGATGTGGAGAAAGGCTCAGGGCAGCTTTCCAGAGCTCACCGCCGGCAGGTAGGCCATTGGAGAGCACCCCGAGGTGCAGGGGCTCCCGGTCATGCAGTGACACCACAGAGATGTTGTCCCTGTTGGCTTCTTGACGCAGGACCTCGCACACCCCATCTGCACCCTCCTTCCATCTCCTGCCTGCAGGGAGAGAGGGAAGGTCCTGCCGCTTTGGACACATTGGGTCTTGGACAGTGTCACCTCCAGACAGCTGCTGGGGGAGCTGAAAGGCTCCCCTGCCTTCCTCCCCCAGGCACCCCCCTCACCTGACACTCCCTCCTCTTCCTCATGGGCCCGCAAACCCTCCAGGCAGATCTCAACCTTCTCCTCCAGCTTCTCCTCTTCCTCGATGGTCCTCATGAGCTCCCGCTTCTCCTCCACCCTCCGTCTGGGAGCCCTGCGAGTCGCCTGCTCCCTTTTCCCCTCTGTGCTATCAGACTTGCGGGAGCTCGTCCGCGTCGTCCGGGATCCTGTCGCGACGGTGACTGAGGATTTGGGGCCCGGGACTCTCCAGGAACGGCCTGTGCGCTCTGAACTCTTGTGGCTGGAGGCCAGAGCTTTGCCAGCTGCTGCAGTCGCCTTCGGTTTGGGATCCTCCACGTCGCTGTCGTCACTGAACGTCACCTAGAGCAGAGGGATGCGGAGGTGTCGGTGCCGCGAGCCTGCTCCCCGGCACCTTCTCAGTGCCCCATCCAGCTCTGTGAGGTGACAGCCCCAAGAGGCCCAGGGCCAAGCGCAGCCTTGTCACCTGCTGTGCTAACGGGCACAGGAAAAGGAACCACCTCCCGGCCCCAAGCCATCCTCAAGCCCTGTCCCTCCTCGCTCACCTTCAGGCGGGACTTGGCTCTGCCCTTGGCTCTGGGGGCTTTCAGGAGCTGGGACTTGTCAGGCGCAGGGGAGGAGTCGATGAACACCCTGAATGGAGCCCTGGGGGCCGCAGCCTTGGCAGGGGGACAGGGCTTCTGGTGCGGGGTGTGGGGCAGCGTCACTGGTCGAATAACGATGGGGGGCACCTCCCCGTCCAGGTCGCCCACAGCAAAGACATCATCCAAGTCCGTTGCAGCCAGGGGCTTCACTCTCTGGCTCTTCTTCACCTTGGGCTTGGGCCCGGTGACTGTCACTGCCCCCTTCCTACTTTTGCTCCTCTGTGGTAGAGCCTTTTCCATCTGGGGGGCCTTGAGGGCAGCTGATCCTTTGGGCTCCACAGGGGTCAGCGGGGGCTGCCAGGCCCAAGCGCTGGAGAAGACGCTGGTCACAGAGCCCTTGCGATGGGGGATCTGAGTGCAGATGGTGGCGGTGGCCTTGGCAAGCAGCAGGGTGGCCCTGCAGATCTCCAGGCTGGGCAAGCGAGGCCGCCGGGACTGCAGGAAGGTCAGACCAGCCTCCACGGCCTCCTGCAGCTTCTCTTCAGCCTGGCAGCTCGCCAGGCTTTGGGAGGCCAACGTGGTGTAGACAGTGGCCATCAGATCATCCAGGAGCTCCAAGGCAGGCAGGGCCTGGCCGTCCAGCGGCACGGGGCCACCCCACAGCTTGTCCCGCAGCACGGCGACGAAGCGGGCGGCCACGGCCTGGCAGCGCCGCAGCGTGGCCTCGAGCAGCCCGAGCCCCTCGGCCGTCCCGGCCCCTGCCAGCTCAAGCTGGGCGCAGCAAAGCAGCCAGCGCAGGCAGAGCGCCGAGAGGGTCACGTCAGAGCACAGCGAGCAGGAGCACGCGGAGGGGTGGCCGAGGAAGCCCAGGTGCCTCTTCTGCTTGGGCTTCAGCTCCGGAGAGGTGGTAAGAGCAGCGGCCTCGCCTGGCCCGCTCACCGTGGCCACAAACTCAAGCGCGGGGCCCTTCAGAAAGGCGGCCTCTTCCGCAGGAGCCTCCAGGCCGGGAGGCCGTTTCTTGCTGCCTTCCAGCTCGCCCTTGCACAGCAGGATCTTCCTTCGCCTGTGCTGCCTCTTGCTGCCTTCGAACTCTGCAGGCCACAGAGAGAGGCGAGTTAGTCCAACATCCTTCCCCCACGCTCCTAACCCACACCAGTGGCTCCCACTGTGGCGCCTTTCCTGGCAGCGCTGCCCTCTTGCCCAGAGAAGGATGAGGGGCAGCTAAGCTGGGATATTCCAGCACTCCCCATTTTTCTACCCAACCTTTTGCTCCCCAATTGAGCCCAGCTGCACCTTTACAACCCGGCGAGTCGCGTTTCAGCCTGATTCTCCCGCAGTTTGTGCCCAACACCAAGCCTGCTTCCATGCCTGGACAAGGGGAGCCAGGAGGGACTCACCGGTGCTGGACTCGAGGAGGAACTGGGCCTGCCGGAGGTCGCAGCGACTCAGCTCCAGCTCGTTGCACTGCAGCTCCAGCTGCGCCTTCAGCACGAGGAAGGCCACACACCTGGGGGGGACACGGCACTCAGAGCCCCCCAGCCACATCCCCATGCAGACAGCAAGCAACAAGCTTGTGTTTAAGCTAAACGCACAGAAAGCACATCCTGGGATGGCCTAAAAGCAGCTGTTTGTGCTCAAAAAAGCCCCAAAGCAGCCAATCCTCCCAGAGGTGCCCTGGGCTTGGGGACACCGCAGTGGTCACTCACCACCGAGCTGCGTGCAGCTTCATGGCCAGCTTGATGGCCTCCAAGCAGAAGGCTTTGGCTTCGGTCACCATCTCCACCTGGCTGAGTGCAGCCACGAGCTGCTCTGAGCAGGCCAGCAGATCAGCCAGCACTTGCCACTTCTGCAGCAGGTTGTCCCCTGCAAGGCGTGGAGGGACATGCAGGTGACCAGAGCTCCCCTGCCCAGCAGGGCAGCAAGGAGACGAGGCCTTCCAAAAGGGCAGTTGCTTTTTGGTCCACGAAAGCAAATAAAACTCACCATAATCCACAAACCGGGCGTCTGACACGGTCTTTTGGGAGCCTAGCAGGTTGCTGCCCATCACCAGGAGGACGATGCTACGGAACAACTTGTGGGCTTCGGTGAGAGCCGTCTCAGGTGTCCTCCACCCTGCACGAGAGCAGCGGGGGACATCAGTGCTCTGCCCAGCATGAGACCAAGCCCTCCCTTCCCAGCACAGCAGTGGGAGAGGCTCCAGTGGGACCTCAGAGCCAGACAGGCTCCAGCTTCCCTCTTCCCGCCCCAAAAAGGGCTCGTTTTGGGGAAAACGAGAGCATGAAGCTCTCACAGAGCTTTAGCTTTGCTCACAAGCCCTGCAGTTCTTCCGTTGCTCTGGAGCTCGCTGCAGGGCTTTGGGCCACCCGCTGGGTCCCCTCAGCGACGCACCCAGAGCAGAGAGCTGCTGCCTGAGCTCCGGCGGGAGACGGGCAGGAGGGAGGCCCAGGTAGGTGGCTGCTAGCTGAAGGACGTGGGCTCGCAGCAGGTACCAGACCTTCGAGGCCTTCTGCAGAACTGGGTTCTGGTGCACGGCCAGCAGCAGGGCAAGGCCTTCTCCAACCTGGAGGCAGCAGCAGAAATCAACGGGATGAGGAAAAACGTCACCACTCCGGTGACGCTGAGGATATTTCCACATCTCTCAGTGGTAAATAGTTGCCAGCAAGAGATGCCGAGGCCTGCCAGGGAGCTGCCAAGCTCTCCTTCTGCTCTCCCATCACAGGTGGGAAAGGGTTTTCAGGGCAGCCCCAGGCAGCGAGGCCTCCCCGGGGGGAGGCCCTGGTACCTGGTGGCTGGTGCAGCAGAGCTGGCTGCGGAGCAGCAGGCACGTTTGCTTCAGCAGCAGGTAGGAGTCGCCGCTGCCGTCAGCCTTCCGCAGGCAGGACTCCGTCTCCTCCAGGAAGAGCTAGAAGGAGGCACCACAGGGTGAGGACCATGGCCTCGGCTGCCTGGCTCGGTCCATCCGTGCCGCACTTGCCTTGGCATAGCTGGGACACTCCAGCTGGAAAAGCAGCTTGGTGACCTGGCACAAAGCACCGGCCATGCCCAGGTTGTCTCCGAGGGCACTGCACAGGGACCTGACCAGAAAGTAGCTCTCCAGGGCCTGCAGGGGCTGAGGGCAGGACACGGTGATGCTTGGAGACCATCCCAGAGGGATGCTCTGCGCCGGCAGTGGCTGCTCTCCCTCTGTCTTTCTCTGCTATGGGACCGACCAAGCCCTCATGCGTGTTACCTTGGACATCAGTTTGTAGAGGGCTGCCATGATGTGCAGGGAGGCCACAGTCTGCTCCGGGCTGCGCACGCTGGGAACTCCCTTCTTCTCCAGGAGCTGCTTCCACAAGGCAAAGGCATCGTCCAGGCTCCGGGACTGAGCTAAGAACACGTTACAGCTTTGAGCAGCTTCTCCAGGTAGAGCAAACCAGTCTGGGAGGGGAGGCATCTCCAGCAAAGCCTCTGCCTCTCAGGAACATGTTTTCCTGCTCTCCCATGGAGCAGAGCATCTCCTAAATGTGTCTTCCCCTCCCAGTATCAACCCCAGGGCAGCTCCTTCCTCGGGTACAAGAACCTTGCTGGCCAAAGGGGCCTTTTCCACAACACAAGGGGCTTCAAACCCACCACTTTCTCACCGGACTCCGCAGCCAGGTTGAAGACGATGCCGTCGTACAGGAACTTGTCCTCCTGCAGCTTGTCTTCGTAATTGAGGTCGTTGGGCTCAAAGTCCTCCAGGTTCTTCTGCCCCTGAGCTCTCGCTCTCTGCTCCCTCTCAATGCTCTGCAGCCGGTTAGGAAGCAGCAGCAACAAACATCAGGAGACACAGGCAGTGCTACCAGCCCCTGGGGCCCTGCTAGGGCTCTGGGAAGGCTTTTGGTGGCCTTGGCAAAGGAAGAAGGGTGAGTAGGGAAGAGCTGATGAGGACGCTTCCCACACCAAGAGGCACCAGGCTCGTCCACAGTAGTTTGGCATAACTGAAAACCCTGGAAGTGCGAGGGAGCCAAGAGAGCAGGGAGCTGTTCTCCACCCTAACTCTTGGCTTTGGAGATTGGTGCATTATGTAGATGGCACAGAGAAGGTTTGGGAGCCTGGGATCACCACAGCTGGAAGTTTCCAGGTTTTTCAACCTTCCTCACCCCCACCTACCTCCTTCAGCTTGGCCTCCAGGGTGCAGATGTAGAGCCAGAGCAAGGCCTGCGCCTGGTCATCGAGGAGCTCATCCTGGTTCTGGGCAGTCCTGGGTACAGACTCCAGCAGCCGCAAGGCCTCTTGGATCGAGTCCAGGGCAGAGCTGCCAGAGAAAGGAATTAGAAACATCCTTCTGCACCCAAAACTGACCCCTAAAGCTTTCAAATCCCTTGAGGAGCCCCCAAAGGCTCCTAGAGACACAGGACAGAGCCAGCAGCTCTCCCAGCACAACCAGAGCCACGCACCAGTCGGTGTGCGCCGTGCAGTCGTGATAACACAAGACTTGGGCCAGCTCCACGAGGCCGGTGGCCCGTTGGTGCGTGCGGCCGCTCTCCTCCGAGCAGAGCTCCAGCAGGTCGCAGACGACATTGTAGCGCTCCCGGCCCGTGCTGGCCCGCACGCTCTTGTAGGCCTTGAGCTCTTCGAAGAGCAAGGCCACCAAGGTCCCCACGTCCAGTTGGCATCCCTTCAGGGCATCCTTCAGCGTCCTGGGGAATCGGGGGCTATTTGGGGGGGGGTGGGCCCATGCAGGGCGCACCCCATGTGTGTGGCGAGCGCGGGCCTCGCTTTACCATAACTGAACCTCCTGCGTCCCCTTCTTCGTGGCATCTGCCTTGACTCGGGCCCAGAGAGACACGGGCTCCACCATCTGCTCCCGCAGCCTGTCCCGCAGGGCGGCCAACCACTGCACGACGGCCGCCAGGGCCTCCTCAAACAGGCCCTGCTCCCAGCAGCTCTCCACCTGCAGCCTGAAGCACCTGTGCAACTGCGGGGAGAGCGGCAACGGGGCGGTCGGGCTGCCTTCAGCCTCCTGGTGAGGCCCAGCCTGCGCCACGGTCCTCAGCCCACCTTTTCTGGCAGTATCTCTGGGTACTGAGACATATCCGTGCTCTCCAGCTTCTTGCAGAAGACCTTGGAGAGGGAGATGACCTCCTTGTGAAGATTCTGGCTGTAGAAGATGTAGGCCAGCTTGTATGTGCACGATGCTGCCACAGAAGAAAAAAGCCCAGTGTTAAAGGTGCTCTGGAAAGAGCGTGTCACCATCTTCCCTCTTCCAGGGAGAACTAACACCCCCTTCCCAAGCCCTACAAGCTACGGGTGCTTCACGCTCTGAGCTCCAGGCTGCCCAGGAGGAGGCAGATACGGAGCTGCTACGTTTTAGACTCGTGGACTGCAGCCAGGGGCTGCCTAGGGCCACTGACCGGTGATTTCGAGGTACTCTGCTTGTTTGCTCAAGAGCAGCCCCTCCAGCGCTGCCAACATCCACTCCACGACGCGCTGGCACGTCCCCAGCAGCTGCTCCAGGCCATGCCAGCCCCTCGCCTGCGCAACGGGCACAGTTAGAGGGAGAGCAACTCGATGCAGGGGTCATGAGAGATCCCTCTGAGGGGCTTCGGGGCTCAGGCAGGCTGCTAAAAGTGCCGAGGAACCCAGTTTGCCAGCCCAGAGCAGGGAGGCTTCCCAACACCGCGCTTGTGGCTCGGCCAGAGTCCTGACCAGCCCTGACCTGGGGACTGTGTCCTCTGCCACCGGTACCTGGGAGCACTGGAAGGTGCTGTAGGCTACGTTGGTGAAGATCTGGAGGCTGTAGTAGAGCAGCTGCTTCACCCTTAGCTGCTCCTTGCTGCTGTCGAGAGGAATCTGCAGAGGGGAGGAAAGAAAGAAGAGGGTTTTCATAGACCTGGCAGCAACTGGTACCAATAGTGGGTGCCAGAAAGGACAGAGGTGACAACTGAGCAAGTCTACAGTGCAGTCACCATCCAGGCCAGCGCACACAGAGGCTCCGGCTGAGGAGGCAGCCCGGCCTTACCTCCTGCAGCAGCCTGTGGATGATGCCGCAGTAGCTCTCCATGAAGGGGCAGAGGCTGGAAAGGAATTCCCGGGCAAAGGGCTTCCTCTTGCTGCTCTCCACGTAGTGGCCGAGGGTCAGGACGATGAAGTAGCAGCTCTCGGCGAGCAGCCGCGCAGAGCGCTCCGAGGCGTCCGGCGCGGAGCCGAGTGCCGCAGCCGCCTGCGAGAGGGGTCGCTGGGCCGCGCCGCCGTCCTCGGCCAGCGCCCGGCTCAGCGAGACACCAGCGTCGAGCAGGGCCATGGGGGCTGCGAGCGGCCTCGTGGGGCGACCCAGGCTGCGCCGCGCTTCCTCCACAGCCGCCCACGCCTCCGCGTGGCGGCCGCTCCTGCAGAGCTGCGCGCAGAGCAGCAGGGTGAGCTCGACAGTGCAAATGGCAGGGGGCTGCGCGCCCTCGCTGCCGGCGTGCAGAGCCACGAGCAGCTGCCGCAGCTGCTGGCTGAGAAAGGCGGCGTCGGCCGCGCTGAGGGGCTCCCGGGGGGATTTGAACAAGGCAGCGGCTGCAGCCGCCTGGCGGGCCACCTTGGAGGTGAGGAAGGGAGGCTCCCGCGGCAGCGGGGCACTCGCCGCGTCCCCCAGCAGCGCCAGGAAGCGCAGGGCGCGCAGGCGAGCCGCAAGCGCAGCCCGGCCCGCGTCCTCCCCGCCGCCAGCCAGGGCCTCCGCGTTGCTCCACAGGACGCTGAAGCTGCTCTGCGCCAGCGCCACGAAGTCCTTGGAGGCGACGTGCTGGGGCTCGTAGGTGAGCAGCCGGTCCCGGAGGAAATCGGCCGCCGTCCACGTGGCCTCAGCGGCGCCCTGGGCGGCCGCGTTGCGCAGCACATGGTAGAGCATCTTCTCCAGGTAGAGGGGAGCGGGCGAGGGTGAAGCGGCAGCGCAGCCGCGGCCGGCGACACATGCCAGGGCGACGAGGCTGGCGGCGTGCGCGGCGCCGAGCCCCGGCCGCCCCAGCTGCTCCACGCAGGCTCGCAGCACTCGGTCGCAGGTGACGCTCCGCGCGGCGGCCGGGCCATGTGAGCCCGACGCCTTCGAGGCACCACTGAGCTGCTCCTGCACAGAAGGGGCCATCAGCATCCCTGGGAACAGCATCCCCCCGAACGTGCCGCGCCGGCCACACGGAGCTGGCGCTGCCGCCGGGGCTCTCACCGTCAGCTCCGAGAGCAGCGTCTCCGTGTGCGCCTGGCTGCGCAGCCGCTTCGCAAAGTCGCCCTCGCGGAGGCGCGTCATGATGCCCCAGGCCTGCACGGGGAGAGGGGACACGTTGCGGGGGGAGCGGCGTCAGCCCCCGTGCCCTTGAAAGGGGCAACGGTCCCTCGGGGCCGCCCCCCCCAACAGGGAGGCAGCGGGAGCCCCCCCCCACGCAGCCCCACCGGGGCTGCAGCCCCCCAGCCCCCTCCCAGCTCCCCCAGCCCCACTCCCAACTCCTCCCCATAGACGGTAAACCCCCCAGCCCCAATTCCGGGCCCCCAGGGCCTTCAGCCCCAACCCGGCCTCACTTCTCCCCACATCGGGACCTGCCTGAGCCGCCCCCAGCCCCCCAAGCGCCCCCCCGCCGCCGCTCACGCGTTACCGCCCGCAGCCTCCGGCGTCGCCCGCGCGCTCGCTTCAAATAGACAGCGCAGCCAATCAGCGCGCGGCACCGCTCGCGCAGGGCACGCCGGGAGTTGTAGTCCGCGCCGAAGTGGCGTTACAGCAGAGCGCATGCGCACAGGATAACGGCCTCCCCCACCCCGCACCCCCCCCCCCGGCTCCGTGTGCGCATGCGTGGGTGGGTTATGGTTACCGATGTGCACGTATGGACGGGCTATAGGGACCGGTGTGATCACGGGTGGGGGGGGGGCAAGGGGGCCCCCTCCACACGCCCACATATGCAAACTGGTGCTTCGTGCACGGTCTCCATGGCAAGAGAGCCCTTTGCGCGCACACAAGCGTGCAATGCATGCGCACAGCATGCGCGTGCAAGGGCAGCGGTGCGCGCGGGCTCCCGCACAACCGCGGGCACAAGGGTGTTAGTTACCCCTGCACAACCCGCTGCGAACAAGCAAGCACGCAGCAACAAGCAGTTGGTTCCCAGCAGGAACCGCATGACCCTCATGGGTGTGAGGAAACACTTTTTATTTGCTTAAAAAAGAAAACAGCAGCAGCAGCAGAGGAGGGGGCTGCCGGGCTTGGAGCAGCCGGGATAACGCAGCCGGCAGCGCCTGCTCCGGGGCGCCTCCAGCTCTCTGGAGTCTGGCGCCACGCAGTGAGCACTCCCAGTACTTCACTTGCCGCCTCGGAGAGGGTTGGGATGCTTTGGGAACTGACAGTTCACTGATGTGTTTTTTTTCCAGTGTTCCTACAGCCGGCGCCCATCAGTCACAGCCAGCACAGGAGCGTCGGCCTCCGACCTGCCCCGCATGAGCTCGGGCCCCACCTTGGAAAGGACTTTGGGATGCAGCGGCTCCTCAGAGCTCCAGGGAGGATGGGTCGGCCTGGCCCTGCGGAGCGGGCACGCGCAGCTCCGCGCTGCTGCGGACGATGCTGAAGAGGCTGACGACGGCCAGCAGCGCCATGACCATGAGCACGGAGCAGGCGGTGAACATGTTCCTGGTGCCCGTCTTGTAGTCGCTGTCGTGCAGGAGGAGCAGGCCGAGGCAGGCGAGCAGGTTCAGCGGCACACGGAACCAGTTCATCACCCCCACCTGGTCCTTCTCCGGGATCACCTTCCGCCGCAGGAAGCCCATGGCGGGGAAGTAGAGACCGCAGGAGAGCTCGATGAGCAAGAAAGCCAGAAAGGACTCGGAAGGGCTCTCCTGGCCAGGGTTGGTGGAGAAGGTGAGCATGAAGAGCGAGAAGAAGACTATAAGGACTGAGAGTGAGAGGACGTGGATGGGCTGGAGGTGGTACCTCTTGGAAGTGGCAATCCGATAGAGGGAAGAGCCCACCATGCTGGCTGCCATGAAGCTGGAGAAGACGATGCCCAAGGGGGGGCCATGAGGGTCCAGCACAGGCGTCCACAGGAAGATGAAGATGTAGATGACGCTCTCAAACAGCGCCTGGATGGTGCCCAGGAGCAGGACGCGTCGGTCCGAAAGGAGGCACTTCAAGCCATCCATGCACGTCTTGGAGAGCGCCCGCTTCTTCCCATAGTTCTCATCCCAGTTTTTCATGGCGAAGACGCCCGTCAGCATGAGGAGGGGGATGGAGACCATGAACGGGGCTACCGGCCCCAGGCCCAGCCATTCTGCAAAGCAGTTGGCTACCACGCCGGCGCCCACGGCAATGACGCTGTTCCAGAACGCCGCTCGCGAGAAGGTGGCTGGGATCCACTCCGCCGGGAAGTCGTGGCGCTCCACGTGCTCGTGGATGTACCACGCCTCGAAGGCGGAGAACAGCAGCGCCGTGGACAAGCCGCCCAGAATCCTACCGACCACGAGGACAAAGTAATCCCAGGAGAGCTTGGTGAGGCAGCAGATGGAGTAGGTCAAGGAAAAGAGGATGCAGGATTTTTTCCGGCCCAACCAGTCCACCAGGGACGTGGAGACCAGCCCGAAGAGGACACTGGAAGCAAAACCGCACACATAGATGATGGCGATCTGCCCCTCCAGGAAGCGGTAGTGCTGGTAGAGTTTGTAGAGGTAGGGGCCCTGCAGCCAGTCGGCGGCCAGAGCCAGGAAATACACCTGGTAGTAATCCCGCTGGAAGTGGAGGAAGGCTGGATTGGTGCAGGCGCTGCCTGCGAGCTTGGAGCGGCAGGCGGACAGCTCCAAGGCCAAGCACACGGCCAAGAGGACAGCGAAGGAGGCGTAGGCGGTGAAGAACATGGTGCCTCAGAGCGGTGCCAGCATGTCTGGGCAGGGGCAGCCGCGACGCTCCTGGGAAACAGGGGGAAAACAGTGTGGGATCCACAAGGGAGACGCGGCACAGAACTACCGCACTGGGAGGGTGGCAGAGCCTGGAACAGGCTGCACTGGGAGGGCTCTGGAGTCTCCTTCTCTGGAGCTTCAAATCCCACCTGGACCTGGTGCAACCTGCAACCTGAGCACGTCACCCCCAGAGGTCCCTTCCCAGGCCCCATGGCACCGGCCCCATTCCCGATCCTCATTTCCAACCTGCCGCTCGCAGATGGATCTTTCCTGACAACTTGAGAAATGAAATATATAAAATGGGGGTGACTGTATGGCAGGACAGGGCAGCGCCAGCGCCCGGCCCTGTGCCCACCGCACCTGGGTGGCCTCGGCCCCGGGGGCGGCCCCGAGGGTGCGGACGGTCCCACGGGACGAACCCGGCTCCTGGCGATGGGGAATCGCCCTGTCCTGCCGCGGCCGACGTCCCCCTGTCCCCATGGCGCGAGGAAAGAGGGGGCAGCTCCGTCACCTCGCGGATTTCTACCCTACCCCCC